GTAAGTGAAAATTAAAACCAATACGAGGAACCATCAGAAAGAGGAAACAAAACTCAACAGAAGGTAAAAATAAGTGATAGCGATATGACTTCCATAGTTCTTTCTTTGAATGTGAACAGCATTATCCATCCCGAGGCCTCTGGAAATGTCTTAGATCCTCATAATGCTGAGAAAGGTTCAGTTTAACAATCTTAGTCATTGCATAACATGCCTGTTACCGTGTACAACGTTCTCCTGGTTCTGCTCACTTCACTCAGCATCAGACCATATAAGTCTTTCCAGGTTTTTCTGAAGTCAGCCTGTTCATCATTTCTTATGGAAGACTGTTATTAAGAAGAGATTCACAACCTCCTGGAGCACCCCATTCCTTTTTCGGAAGGTTCTAATTGCTTGGATATTTGTTACTCATACCAAGCATCTTGGTAACTTCTACCCACTGTTCCTAATTCTGCCCTCAGGAGCCAAGCAGAACAAATCCAACACTTCTTTCACATGATGCTACTTTAAATACTTAAAAGACAGCTACCATGATCCACCCATCTCCACCCACACCCCTACTGAAGTTATCTCTTTTACAAGCTAAACATCCTTCCTTCCTTCCTTCCTCCTTCCCTCCCTCCCTTTCTTCCCTCACTATTTCTTTCTTTTCCTTTGAAGACTGAGTCTTGCTATCTGTCCCTGACTGGAAGTGCACCAATCACTCACTGGCCCAATTCCACTACCGACTGGCACAGGAGCATTAACCTCCATTTTCTTGCTGAATTGGTTCACTTCTCCTCAGGCAACCTAATGCTCCCAATGGCTCACCATATTGGTGCTGGATTTAGTGGAGACCCCTCATTGATTTTAGCTGGCCTGCAACTCAAAAGTCCTGAGCCTACACAATGTGCCAACCTCGGTCTCCCCAGAAGCAGCAATTATAGACCCAGACGTGTGGCACGTATTCAAGGCTCTTCATCATCCTGATCACTTTCCTCTGTAATCTCTCCCACTTTTACTAGTGAGCACCCCAAAATGTAGTTACTAGAACTGAACACACTAATATCTAAGTTAGAGAAAGTCTAGGGGGACTAGAACCTCCCTATTCAAGGATGTTAGGAATCTCTTAGTATAGTCCAAGATCAAATTAGATTTTGGGGGGCTGCAAGATCACACTTGACTCATATTGAGCTTTCGGCTCACTAAAACCTACACCATTTTGCTAAACTTATGCCTAGTCACATTTATCCTTATATTACATGTATGAAGTGGATTTTTGGGATTTTTGGAATCCAGGATTTTAGATTTACTTCTATTAAATTTCACTTTATTAAGTGAAATTTACCTATCAAGATCTTTTGAGATCCTTGATTCTGTCACCTAACAAGTCAGCTACCCCCTTCTATGTCGGTATTGATTATCTCTAAATTTGGAAAGTATGCCTTCAGCCAATAAAAATGTTAAAGGTAACTCTACTAGAGACCTTTTTCCATGCTGACATCCAACCACTAATTATTATTCTTTGAATATAGTCCTTCAACAATTTCTGAATCCTTCCAATTGGACTATTATCTAGTTCACAGCTCTTAATCTCGACCACAAGAAATCTGTAAGTGACTTTATCAAATGTTTTGATAAAATATAGATAAACCATACTTATAAAATTCCTCTATGCTATCTGTGCAGTAGGCAGCTAAGTGGCACAGTGGATAGTGTGCCAGGATTGGGGGTCAGGAAGACTCATCCTTCCTGAGTTCAAATCTGGCCTCAGACACTTGATAACTGTGTGACCCTAGGCAAATCGCTTAACTCTGTTTGCCTCAGTCTCCTCATCTGTAAAAAGAGCTGGAGAAGGAAATAGCAAACAACTCCACTATCTTTGCCAAGAAAACCCCAAATGGGGTCATGAAGAGTCAGACAGGACTGAAATGACTAAACAACAATCACAACCTGTCTAGTAACTCTTTAAAAAGGAAATGAGGTTAGTATGATACGACCTCTTCTTAATGAAGCTACTGCTTGGTTGTAATAATCATTTCCTTTTCTAGATAGTCACTAATTATGTTTTAATGATATTCAAGAATCTTCCCAGGAATCAAAGTCAAGCTCATTGGCCTCTAGTCTTCAGGTTTCATTCTCTTCACCTTCCCCTTTAGGAGACATTAGCTCTTCTCTGTGGTTGAGATACCTCTCCCATTCTCAATGATCTGATTTAAAAGATCACTGATAGTGGTCAGTAATCACAGAAGCCTGTGTCAGCACTCTGGGATACAGGTCATCTGGGGCTGGTGACTTGGTCTCATCAAGGTTAGCAAGGGACACCCTTACTATATATTCCCATTTATGTCCTGGGTCACATGACCAACAAACAATTAGGCATTTCTCTAGTCCCCGTTTACTCTAAACAAAACATTTAAAAAAAACCAACCAAAAAACAAAAGAGAGATTATATGTCAGAGGCAGAGTAGTTACAGCTGTCTCCACAGGACAAGAAACCAAGGAGCCTTGTTAATCAGTGGTGGAGGATGCCATTTCCTCAGCAGATCCCTTAGCACCACCAGTCTCCATGTTATGTCAGGACATACAAATCAACGTATCAGCTTGTACCCTAGCATGCGCTTTGCAATTTCCTTGTTGTTTTAGCCTCTGTCAGCACATACCACTCCTGCCTTTAACCCCTGCATTCTGTTGCAACAATCAGCAGACCTCAACTATGCCTAGCCATATGCAAAGGAGGAGGAGGTAGGGGAAGGTGGGACTTTGTTCTGTCTGAGGTCATCTCTAGGAATGAGGAACCCTAAAGCTGCAGAAATCTACTCTACCTTATACCATTTCTACAAAAAGTGACAAATACTGATTTAGCCTCCTCAGAGAACTAAATGACAAAGGGAATTGGGCCACGGAGCTAAGGTGACAGACTGCACCGGACCTAAAGGAAAGATGATTGGCATCTAGCTGGGTACCATTCCTTCAGAAGTCACTTTAAACAAGAGCTAAGGTGGATGAAAAGTAAATATATGGTAGGAGAATGAGGTAACCTTGAGGGAAACCCAATGTCAATTGGGAAGTAGTCAGAAAGTAAGTAATAAGGCAATAAAAGACGAAAAAGGACTAAAACCACCAAAGATGTCAGGAAGAAGAAAACTCAGTTAAAAACTTAGATCACAAGTAGACAAATCAACAAGGAAGACACTAAAATCATAAGGAAATATTAGTAATAAGACAACCAAAAGATTACAAAATCTCTTGATAAATGTTGTAAGGCAAAGAAAATTGAATGATTACCCATTGAAACACAGAAATCTGTTGATCCCAAAAGAACATGGGACCACAGAAGAACATTCCACAATGGACCATGAGACAAATAAGAACCTTGAGAGAAGAGCTTAGACAAAATGAATAGCAGATTTTTTATGGTCTGCATGACAGAAATAATTATCAGAATTGGAAAACTTGAATCCAAGGTGATAGGTTGGTAATACAAATACACTAATGTGAATCTGTAATAAGAAAAGCAAAAAGCAATAATTTTACCAACAATGTTAATGAATACATCATCTCTACGTAAGCAAAAACATTCGGCGTGATAGACTGTACAAAGACAACTTAAGGATCACAGGCCTCCCAGGAGAACACAAGTCAAAAAACTTGAACTTCATAATACAAGATATTATATAAGAAATCTGACCAGAACTTCTGAATGGAGGGGAAAAAAAAGCACCAATGGAAAAATCCACAGCCTTCAAAAAGGAAAATTTAAAAAAACTCTATACTTCAAATTCTAAGACATATTGTGATTAAATTTCCCAATTCCAATGCCAAACAATAAATTCTACAAGCAACCAGGAGTAATAGCTTCAAATATAAAAGAAACTGAATTCTAATAACACAAAACTATTCTGTACTCATAAGCAACTGCAGAAGGGAATGGAATGATACATTTGAAAAAGCAAGGAAGCTTAAGATACAACCTAAAACATATATCCTGCTATCTGAACCTAATCATAAGTGGATAAGATGGCCCTTCAATAAAAGAGAGGTATTTGAAATATTCCTGTAAAAACAAATAAAAAAAGAATAATCTGAGAGCAGATTATTCACTTTGCTAACACAAGAAACGTTTACTGTTTCCTCATTTGTCTTTTTTTTTTTTGGCTAGGCAATGGGGTTAAGTGACTTGCCCAGGGTCACACAGCTAGTAAGTGTTATGTGTCTGAGGCTTGATTTGAACTCAGGTCCTCCTGACTCCAGGGCTGATGCTCGGCACCTAGCTGTCCCCCTCATTTGTCTTGAAATCAACTACATATTAATCATTTTTCTTCTGTAATTTCTGGCTAAATGATAATCCTCCTTGTCAGAAAAAAAAAAACAGGAGCAAAAATAAAAGATTGAACAGCTATCTTCTCTCCTTTATCCTCATTCCATCTACCCTGAGCAGTAATTTTATCTGGTTCTGCCTTGTTAATTTTCTATAGCATTAAAAACCTTATTTGAGTTATTGAGTTCTAACATTCCTGACACTATTCTTACAGGGTTGTGCTACAGCTATGATTTCGTTTTCCTTTAAATCCTCTTGCTTCTAATTACTGTGTTGTTTTTGTTGTTGAGTCATTTCAGTTGTGTGTAACCTTTGTGATCGCAACTGGGGTTTTCTTGGCAAAGATACTGGAGTGGTTTTGCCATTTCTATCTCCTGTAAATATAATTAAAAACCTAAAATGGTTTGTGATGTTCCGGTACATAAATGCTAGTCTCTTTAGACATCTCCTTCTATAACTTATGCTATTAGAGAACCTCCCAAGCTTAGAGGGCTTAGAGAGATTAAATAACTTGCCCATTCTCACACAAATACTAAGCATCAGTGAGATTTGGATCAGCTCTCCCTGACTTCAAGACCAGCACTCTATCTATTATCATATACTACCTCAACAGACTTAGTATATAATTTGGGGTGGAGGGGAGTCATTTCCCTGCAAATATTATTGCATTGTATTTTCACTTGTTCAAAACTATTTTACTTACCCATCTAGAAGAGCTATGACATTCTTCCGGGGACGCCCAATATTGGGTCCATACAAGCTGGCTCTGGAATAAGTTCTGATGGGCTGCAACAGACTTTTTAGTTGGATATAGTCCTTTCCCAGCTGGCTGCCATTCACTGCACGGCCATGCATGGTCCTATAGTTGTTTGGCTCTAGATAAAAAGCGAGAGTAAGTCAGTGTTGGACAGAATGGACTTCCTATTCACTAAGCCTTGCCTCCTCCTCTATTGCCAAGCCTATTTCCACTATGATACCTCTATATCTTGCTCCTTTATTGCCAATGGTATTTTAGTGATTTGTGTACTACAGAGCTTTTTCATCCATGAAGGAATACAAATTCTTCTTGAACTAATTTACATTTTCAATCTGTATCCTATCTTGGGAGTAACAAGTTTCATGAGTTAACTATGCACTGTCTGAAGTTCCTTTTATTTCTACCACAGTGATCCTCCCCCAAGGGGGTGATACCTTATTACTGAGGACTAGGATTTGGAGAACAAGCTCGTGTCCGTCCTCAACATGTTTCAGGCTTGGATCATATCCCTTCCCGGCTCTCATTGTTTCCAGATTTAAGGAAGAGATTGCCTTTCTATGTAGTCTCAGCTTCTTACTCTGTATTTTCAAGATGGCCTCTTAATCACCTTGATCATTTGGTTACTCTTCACTAGGCCTTGTCCAGTTTTGTTTTGCCATCCTTCCACAGATGGAGGACTACTTAGAGATGCTTCATGATTTTGAATTCTCCTCTAAACTGCCCTAGCATTACATCTCAGGAGATATTATGTGGCCACATTCTATTTTTTACAATAATTGTATGGGGGTATTTTATTTTACCACTCCCCAAACTGGATTCTAAGCTCTCTGAAGATATGTTTTCTTTGCATCACCATCAGCACCCAATCAATCAATCAGCGTTTTTAAGGGTCTACTACATATCAGTCATTGCACTAGGTGCTAGGGAAACAAGGATAGAAATGAAACATCCTAGCTTCAAGGCCCTTGTTTTCTGTGGATGTATGGTCGTCACGAGGGTCAAATTAAATAATGTTTGTTTCATATTTAGCACAGTACTTGGCACATAGGAGGTGTTAAGGAAATGATTATTTCCTTTCCTCCCCCACCCCTTCAGTACATTAACATGCCAAGGACTTGTGGTTTTGGCAGTATAGGAAGTCTGTCACTGATGAAAATTCCAACTGTCTATAATTTAGCATACAAGTCTTAGAGAATTGTTTAAGACTCCCAACGGTTGAGTGATTTGTCTGTCACCACAGGGAAAAGAAGTAGGTAAAGTAAGATCTGAACTCAGGCCTTCTTGAATACAGGACCAGAACCCTTTCCTCCATGCCATGTTTCCTCTGTGCACACATATGATCTGCAATGTTCTCTACATTTTATTGAATGTTTACTGTTTGTAATAGTTAACAGGTCAAATTTATATGGCATTTTAAGTCCTATATTTATTCTATTTTTATTTATTCTATAGTTATTCTACATTTATTCTATAGTTCTTCTAAATTTGATAGATAGGGCATATATTATTATCCCTATTTTACAGCGGAAGAAATGAAGGTGGCAGCAATTCTCAGTGTGGAAATCCTCTCTACTGATGTTAATTAGCAAGCTGCTATAGATGAGAGTCTCTAAGAGTTACTGAATGAGTAACAGATTCACCCATGATCACATAGATATTAAATGCATGAGACAGAATTCAAACCTCAGGTCTCCCGACTTTGAAATGCAAAATTCTATCCCATACATAATGTTGCCTTGTAATAATGAGAACAACAATAATAGCTAATATTTATATAGCATGTACTATGTGCCAGTCACTGTGCTAAGCACTTTATAAGTATCATCTCATTCCATCAAGCCCAGGAGGAAGTGCTATTATGATCTCCATTTTACCGATGAGGAAACTGAAGTGAAGGGACTTCCCCAAAGTCACACAACTTTTTAAAACACGAAATAATGTTTTGAGTTTTGTATCCCTTGCCCTTCTTGATTTGGGGCATCCTTAGCTGCTCAATAAACCAATGTCTTCAGGGCCGTACATAACTCAAGGCTTAAAACTTCTCATCCTTGACTCGTATTTGGGTTATTTTTTATAAGTTCTTTACCTTGAACTTCCACACTGAAGTTCACCTGCCATTCTCCTACTTATCTGCAAAGCTCCCTAGAATCTTCTTTCCATCTCTCCTCACTGGCTGTGTATGTGATTATTTAGAAGAGCTCCGTGAAAGCTTGGAGATTTTACTGAGTATTCCTTCTTGCTTCCAATTTAGTTATTAAAATACGGATTCCATGCAGCAAATAAACATCAATGAACGACCATTTATTAAACCTTCGTACAATTGATGGATAGGCCTGAAAAATGAGCACCATGGTTTAGCAAGTACAGCCAACGACGTATTTCTTTGATTTGGAGCTATGTATGTTTATAAGGTATTTTTTCTCATCTATGGCAGTCATTAACATCAAATAAAGTGAAAAAAACCTGAACTTAGATCCAGATCTTAGAATCAGTGTACCACTGTGACAAATCTGGACCTAAATGAGATAACAAATAGAAAATGCTTTGCAATCTTAAAAGTTTATATTACATAAAGGCTAGCTATTATTGTTAAACCCAGCATTTTAAGGATATTTAATCATATTTAACTAAAATAAGATGAATAATAGAATATTTTACTGAGTGAAAAAGGTTTTGTACCATTAATAAAATTGAATAAAAATTATTTTTTAAAAAAATAGAGTATTAAGCACCTACTATGTAATAGGTACTGCACACATAAAGAGAAAAAAGGAAATAATCCCTGCTTAAGGAATTTATATTCTATCAGAGAAGATATCTTATCTACACAAACTTCTTTCCTTGTGAAAATATTCCCTGAAAAAAACTGATTTTAATTACTATCAGGGATATCCCTTCATTTTAGAGGCATGGTACTAACGTTAAGTATCCTACCTGGCCAGAGTTTTGAAGCCTTTCCACATTAATTTTATTTACAATGCTGCATGCATTTTGTTTTACATTTTTAGGAAACATTTATCAACAAGACTGGTCAAAAACACCCTCTTACCACGCTTATTAGCTTCCTGTCATGTGGTGTTTTCCATCAGAATGTGAGCTACTTGAGGGCAGGAACTGCATTTCTTTTTGTTTGTATTTTTGTCTCCAGCATCTGCACAGTGTCTGGCACATTCTAAGTGCTTAACTTCCTTCCTTCATCCTTCCTTCCTTCATCCTTCCTTCCTTCCTTCCTTCCTTCTTTCCTTCCTTCCTTCCTTCCTTCCTTCTTTCCTTCCTTCCTTCCTTCCTTCCTTCCTTCCTTCCTTCCTTCCTTCCTTCCTTCCTTCCTTCCTTCCTTCCTTCCTTCCTTCCCCTTGGCATATATGCTCAATAGGATGATGGCTAGGTTAAGGGAATGAATAATTTATTAGGTATTCTCATATAATTCCAAATTGATGACAGAACGGATGGATCAGTTGATTGCTCCACCAACAGTGTGTTACTATGCCTGTTTTCCCACAGCCCTTTCTACACTGTTTTTTTTTAATCTTTTATCATCTTTGCCAACTTGATCTGACAACATAAAATCTTAGGGTTTTTTTTCATTTTTCTTATTATTAATGATTTGAAGAATTTTCATGTGATTATTGAGAGTTGCCTTTCTTCTCTCTCTTTTTTTTTAGGGGAAGTATTTTTTTTCAATATAAATTTATTTATTTTTAGTTTTCAACATTCCCTTCCACAAGTTTTTGAGTTCCAAATTTTCACCCCATCTCCCCCTCCCCCCACCCCAAGATGGCATGCATTCTGAATATCCCTTCCCCTACTCTGTCTTCTATCTCTCTCCCCTTCTCTTATCCCCTTCCCCTTCTATTTTCCTGTAGGGCAGGATAGACTTCTGTACCCCATTTCCTATATTTATTTCCCAGTAGCATGTGAAAACATTTTTTTTAAACATATGTTTTTAAAACTTTAGGTTTCAAATTTTCTCTCTTCCTCCCTCCCCACCCACCCTCATTGAAAAGGCAGGCAACTCAATATAAGTTGTACATGTGCAGTTATGCAAAACATGTCCATAGTAGACATGTTGTGAAAAACTAACTCTATTTCCCTTAATCCTATCCTGCCCTCCCATTTATTCTATTCTTTCTTTTGATCCTGTCCCTCCTCAGAAGTATTTACTTCTGATTAACCCCTTTCCCAATCTGCCCTCCTCTCTATCATCCCCTGCTCTCTTGTCCCCTTTCCCCCCTATTTTCCTGTAGGGTAAGACAGATTTCCATACCCAATTGAATGTGTATGTTATTCCCTCCTTAAGCCAAATCCTATGAGAATAAGATTCACTCATTCCCTCTCACCTTCCCCTGTTTCCCCTTCCACTGTAAGAGACTTTTCTGTTTTTTTTTGTGAGATAATTTACCCCATTCTACCTCTCCCTTTCTTCTTCTCCAAATATAATCCTCTCTCATCCCTTAATTTTATTCTCCAGATATGACCCCTTAATCTTCAACTCACCCTGTGCCCTCTATCTATCTATCTACATATACATACATATAATTTTTTTCCTCCAACTACCCTGATACTGACAAAGGTCTCATGAGTTATAAATATCATCTTTCCATGCAGGAATGTAAACAGTTCAATCTTAATAAGTCTCTTATGATTTCTCTTTCCTGTTTACCTCTTCATGTTCCACTTGAGTCCTGTATTTGAAAGTCAAATTTTCTATTCAGCTCTGGTCTTTTCATCAGGAATGCTTGAAAGTCCTCTATTTCACTGAATGACCATTTTTTCCCCTGAAGGATTATACTCAGTTTTGCTGGGTAGGTGATTCTTGGTTGTAATCCTATCTCCTTTGCCCTCTGGAATATTATATTCCATGCCCTGGTCCTTTAATGTAGAAGCTGCTAAATCTTGTGTTATCCTGATTGTGTTCCCACAGTACTTGAACTGTTTCCTTCTGGCAGCTTGTAATATTTTCTCCTTGACCTGGGAACTCTGGAATTTGGTACAAATATTCCCTAGGAGTTTTCCTTTGGGGATCTCTTTCAGGAGGAGATCTGGGATTCTTTCATTTCTATTTTGCCCTCTGGTTCTAATATATCAGGGCAGTTTTCCTTGATAATTTCTTGAAAGATG